ATGTACAATGTACATTTGATAGGCCATAAGTCAGGCTTCTTTAGTTCAAGCTGAATGAGTTTTGTACCAGAATAGCTACCCCGTACACCTCAAAATGTGACAATCACTTGTCACATCCGTTGTTGCAAATTGCAAATCATCTGGAAAGCTGAACACAAGTCAACGGCAGTGAGAATCTCTGAGAAGGGGTCGAGAGTCCCTTCTGTCAGGAGTGGGTGGAGAGGTCCCACTGCCCAAGATGTGCTCTCTCCCAACTTGAAGTTTTCAACAGGAATCACAAGTTAGGTTTCTTGTGATGAGTTAACTTGGATACAATTGGTCCCTGCATTAGAAATGTAGAACCCCCAGCATCTTGGTTTCAGATGGTCCCATGAGAGAACAAGCCCTTTCCCATGGGCATTGACAAGCGACTCACGTGGTCCAGCCAGCATCCATGATGTTTTTATAGTTTATGGCCCCACAGAGAAATGTCTTAAATCTGTAATAGTCCCAGAGTCTGAGTTCTGTTCATTGAGTCCATGTCTGCCTTCAGAGGTGGGAATAATTCATCACAGACTTTATCAGGTTTCAGCCCACTATCAGGTCCAGGCAATTAGGATCTCTGAATTCAGGATTCCAAAAAAGCCAGTGACTTTTCTTCTTTAACAGCAGCAAAACTGAGAGACTACAGGGCCAGACAGTGGGGTTCCAATTCCTTCTAAGCCCCTTTTATCTAAGCACCTTAGAGTCTAAACTGACCACTCAAAAGTGTGCTCCTGAGGCTGGAAAATCATCAGACACTAGGGGTCAGACATCTGATTTTACTAGAACTTATTAGCAAACTAAAACTTTTTTAAAACTCAAAAAGTGTATTTTTCTGTGGCAATTATCTCTCTTTTTATGTTGTCTACTTTTTCCCATAGGCTCCAGCAGGCAAAAAGTGTAGCGAAAATAATCAGTTATGGAGTTTTCAATAGTCAGATATTCAGAGTTTAAATTTTAACCCATCCACCATCAGCAAAAAGCAGGGAAGTCATGTTCTACGAACACCTTTTGTAGAGCAGCAATCCCTGATTGGGATAATCTCTTTGGCATTTATGAAATTACAAGCATATAATATTTTACATCAGTTTTTAATCATACATCCAGAAGCAGTAGCCACAAAATAAAAGCCATTTTAAAAAGTCTCTCTTGGGCCGTCCTGGTCGTGTAGTGGTTAAGTTCGCGCTCTCTGCTTCTGCGGCCCAGGGTTCGCCAGTTAGGATCCTGGGCATGGACCTCCGCACCACTCATCGAGCCATGCTGAGGCTGTGTCCCACATAGAGCAGCTAGAAGGATGTACCACTATGACATACAACTATCTACTAGGGCTTTGGAGAGAAAAAAAGAGGAAAATGGGCAACAGATGTTAGCTCAGGGCCAATCTTCCTCAAAAAATAAAAATAATAATAAAATAAAATAAACAAAAATAAAAAAAAAGGTCTCATTTTTTTCTTCATTGCAAGTTTACTCAAACACCTAGCAATAAATTCAATACTTTCAAGATTAATGTTACAACTACTGAGAGATCCCATCTGGAATGCAGGGGCTGCTGCACCGGTAGGTAGAGTGCTCTTTTTCACCTCTACTTTTTTTCTGATTTATCTATAGCTTGCTCCAGCCCTGGAACTGACTTAATCTTTTCCCCTCCCACTTGGAGGAGTGAGCAATACAAACATTTAACAGTTTGGCTCACCCCAAATGTTTTTTGGGAATGTTTGGACCCTGTCTCCTCCCACCTGGAAGAGAGAACAAAACCCAAAGGCATCACCCAGGCTGCACATTTTAATCCCTTTACTTTAGCTACTACTGCCAAAAGCAGCCAACAAATCCAATGAGCCAGTTCTCCTGGGATTGGATCTATTATTTTCAAATTCCATGGGTAACTTTTACCTCTGACAACAGAAATGATCTTGGCTGCTGTTTCATGCCACAGATGACTAGGTAGCCACCAGTCACTGAAGGTTCATCATTGTGTCCCTTTCATCCTTCCTTTCCCCAAACACTGCTTTAGCCATATTTCAGTGAGTCGGGTTAGTTTTAGAGAATCCCACTAATGACACCTACTATCACCTCCAATTTGGGGGATTTGCTAGAAGAATCCACAGGACTCAGCATATACTTGTACTCATGGATAAGATTTATTACACTGAAAAGATACAAAGCAAAGTCAGAAAAGGGAAAGGCATATTGGGTGAAGCCCAGAGGAAACCAGAAACAAGCTTCCCAAAGTCTTTTTCCAGTGAAGTTCCATGGGATGTGCTTAATTCCTCCAGCAATGAGTTGTGGCAACATGTGTGAAATGTGTCCACATGCTCATGAGAGACTTAGTGCCAGGGATTTTACTGGGCACTGGTTATGTAGGCACGCTGCTATGGACTGATTGTGATCCTTCAAAATTCATATGTTGAAGCCTAATCCTCAATGTAATAGTATTTGGAAGCGGGGCCTTTGGGAGGTAAATAGATCACAAGGGTAGAGCCCTCAAATGGGATTACTGCCTATGATGGTTATTTTTGATGGTTATTTTTATCAATTTGACTGGCTACGGAGTGCCCAGGTCACTGGGCATTCCGAATGTGTCTATGAGGGTGTTTCTAAATGAGATTTGCGCTTGAATCAGCAGACCCAGTAAAGTAGATTGCCCTCTCCAATGTGGGTAGCCATGATGCAATCAGTTGAGAGCCTGAATAGAACAAAAGGTGGAAGAAGGAGGAATTCACCCTTTATTTTCCTCCCTCACTCCTGGAGCTGGGACATCTCATCTTATCTTCTCCTGCCCTTGGACTGGGATTTTCACCATTGGCTCCCCTGTTCTCAGGCCTTCGGACTCGGACTGGATTATACCACTGGCTTTCCTGGGTCTCCAGCTTGCAGATGGCAGACTGGGTGGCTTCTCAGTCTCTAATTGCACGAGCCAATTCCTCATAATAAAACTTCGTATATGTATCTTTTTTTTTTTTTTGCACATTTTCTAAATTGTTTCTGTCTATAAGGTATTAAGGGAAGGATTCAGAACTCCAAGAAACAGATATCACTTAAAGACGTTTTGAAATAAAGTCCTATTTCTTTTTCTCAAAATGCTTTCACATAATAATCAGATATTATCTGCTCTGGTTTCTCCATCCCTTGATCATAGATTTATTTATTTTTGTTTCAGAAATTTGGAAGAAAAAACACTTCTTTTTTTTTTTT